AACGCAGAATCAACAGGTCTATGCATGTTCCCCTCACACTCCCGCGTAGAATGTAACTACGAATTAAAGTCTATTCCATTTGATTTATTTAGTTTGCTTTTTTAATTAAAACAAACGAAAAAAGAGTTCATGTTGGGTTTTCCAACAGTGGTCTTAGCGATCTGCATCATAATTGATTGGGTAAATTAAATGGTAAATATATAGAGTAAAACGTGACCTTCGAGCGTCCCCTCCTTTTATTTCGCAACTACTTTTCTCACGTCTGTATCCTACTTATCACCGTTTCACTCCTTTTCATTCTGATCTACTCCTCATTCACTGGCCAGGTTATTGACTAAAATGGGATCGCTGAGGTGAACTTGTAATGAATAGTTTAAGTAAACTCAAACAAACCAAATAAGCGCTGGAAAATATACGACTAATTTCATCAAACTGTACCATTCTCTTGATGCACCAAGGTAAACTGAGTGATATCTTTTCGATAATTAAATATGAACTGATAAAGAATACTTTGTGAAGGCTGACAAAGAGCACTGATCAGCAGTCCAGTTTACATAATGACTCATCATCAAAGCTTACAACAACAAAGCTCACTTGCCAGGACTCGAACAGGAAACCTTTGGATTGGAAGCAGAAACCTTGCTCCGTGCCCCTGAGCTAGAAGGTCGACGACCAACACTTAGGAGCATGGCTATGCAAATTTAGGTTTATTTTCCATGCTCTGTATTGTACTTTTTGTGTAAGCTTTATTCTTTGTGAGTTCAGCCAGTCCTCATATTTTCCATATTTTGTTCAAGTCCCAGAAAGGATCATATATTGTCCGCACGGCTGGTGAGTCTCGGGTAGAAAAAGATAACTTTCTATTGAACTTTGTTGGCTTTCACACAACATTTTTCAAAGAAATGGAAAAAGTGTGATTTGAACTTTAAATTACTTATTTGTACGATAATTCGGTTGCGCTGAATCCAAAGACTCATATTCGGAAACCTTTCATTCCTCAATTTTCGGACTTTTGCAGTATGATGTCTTTCTTGATGGATGTGTGGATGTCAGCCAAGATTTCGGTTGTGGCGGTGGAAATCCCTGTGCAAACGGTGGTCGCTGTGTTCCAGTTATGCGTGTAGAAAAAGACAGTAGTGGAGTCGAGGTGGAGAGCCCTTCGTTCAATTGCAGCTGTCCTCCAGCATTTCATGGCGAAACTTGCGAGCTGGAGACCGACCGATGCGCGGAGGAAAATGTCTGTGGCGATTTTCAGTGCCTACGAGACCCTACGGACTTGGATAATGGATATAGGTTTGTGCGTATATTATTTACCCAAGCAGATAGATGTAGGATTACAAAATGCTTATATTCTTGTTGTCCTTGTAAACAATTCTCTTATTGTGGTATATTTGTGAGGAACGCAGTTTGAACTTCATAGGTATGTGTCAGTGTCCATTGGATAGAAGAAAATACTTTGTTCACGTTATTTACTAGGCCATCAACAGCTTTGTGTGGTAAACGGTACTGCAACGGGACTTCCGTCTTGCTCAAACATATTAATTACAGCAAGAAAGCTTCAACAATATTGGAAACAATCTGTTTTGCATTTGGTGGTAGCATCTAGTTGCATCTAGTAGGTAGGAATATGAACACTATCAACCCAAACTGATTCAACGCTCTAGACATATGTGTTTCACCTAAGGTACCCATTAGATTAGTACTTTCATGCGGTGGTTTTCGTTACCATGCTTTGACTTTCAATTTCAGTTGAGGAGTAGAGGATTGATTCGACGGCTGAAAGCAGTGTCAATGTGAAGAAAGAGAATTCACAAAGATCAAGGCTGCAAGGAAACTGTGTGGCAGGCAGCTTTGCTGTAGTCCGCTTCAATACCACGTCTAACCAAGAAGGGCCTCATGTGGCTAACCACTAAGTTCTCGGGGTTAGGTTCCCGGTTTTCATCAATAGTAGGTTTTCGAGACCATTTGGATCATCCCATCTACTGTTCACCACAAAAATGTATTTTAAAATAAAATTAAAAGATGCACGAGCGCTACGGCTTCCGCCACTCAGTGTTTCTAACAAGAGATTCTCGAGATTCTCAACCACTGAACTTAACTTGCTCTAGTGTCAAGTCCTGGTTTGGCAACACTAAACTTTTTCCACCCATTAGCTGCCTAAGCAAAAACTGCAAGATTGCAATCTAATTAGTGGCATGCAGAGGACACCTGTGGTGAGCCATGACTACGTGATGACGCCTACCGTGGAGCGGCGCGTACGGCCTCTGACTACACGCCATAGCCAGGTACTACTACTACTACTACTACTACTACTACTACTACTACTGCATTTGGAATGCACTCAGGTCAATGTGTTAAGAATGGGTGCAATCAGATGGATTATTTTCAATGAGATCAGATAACGGAACTTGGAAAACGCTGCTGATCATTGAGAAGTCACGCCTCAGTAACTTGAATTTTTGTTGAAGTAATGCTCCTATTTGGATTTAACTCACAGAATTACTGTAGTCTTCTTATCTGAAAGGAGAGAACTTTCAGCTTTCGAGCAAAAATTAGGGTATGTAAAGATCAGCAAAGGTTACCTTTAAGTGTAACACCTAAGTATTTCACATTTCTTACCCTGCTCATTGGCTTTCTCTGAAGCTGTACATTGTCGGAGGGAGATGGGGAACGGTGTAATGTAAATATACATTGAAGGTATTTTTCGGGATTGGAATTAAAACCGGATAAAGAAGAATGTGTACCGAGGTGGAAGAAGTTTGTGTTACATGCAGCCAGTTAGATTCAGAAACAGTGATGGCAATATCATCATCGGATTTAAAATGTCCTACAGGTGGGATTAATAGGTAAGTTAGTCATATAAGTCGCAAAACAATAGGGTGATAAGATATCACCTTGAAGTACATCCGAACTATTGAGTTGTCCCCGTGACCGTCCTCTTCCATATTACATATATTGGTATATTTGCGAAATGTAATCACCAAGCCATTCAAGAAGAGGACAACCAAACAATTAGAGTTCGTTAAATGAAAGAGAACGGGACACAAAGTCCAAGCGGAGGAATAACCCAGAAAGGCACAGTGCACACATTTCACTTTCTCGTTTAGAGACTCACAATTGAAGTGAACTAGAGGAGAAACGGCATCCAATGTACAGCGTTTGTTTGTATGCAAACTGATAAATGTCATTGGGGATAGAGAGAGATAACTGAAGGCGATGTAGAACTGACCACCCCATTAATTTCAAACCAGTGGAGTGGAGAGCAATTAATCTGAAATATCTCACATTTGTGGATGGGTGTAATTCTCACCGGGAGCCAGCAGTCCGGAGTAGTTCGGAGTTCAAGTGAAAGATTGGATGTGTGATACAGTGGGGTAGTACCGCATTTGAGAAGTGCAGGATCAGGCGCGGTTTACGCCTTGAGAGAACGCATGTGTTTACACATATCACTAGAGATAACGGGTTCAAACGAAAAATGGGAGGTATGGAGAACTCGGGTCAGCTTTCAGTTTCAGTCTGTAGAGCCAACAACCATTGCAGTTCCAAGTGCTGGTTTTGGTTGCTGTATTTTGGTTACCCAGTTGGATGAATCGGTACCAGAATTACAGGAAACTTGAAAGTAGAATCAAAGAGAATATGGAAAATTTCAAAGGGGAAGGCAGCAAAGAAATTGAGATGTACGAGCGCCTCTGTTTAAGATAGTCCGCCATAGCTCCATCTAACGAGCGTAAAGCAACCTATTTGACAATCTCCAGGTTAGGCTTTTCATGTCGTCGTGTTAGGTCTTATTCTGACTACCCTTGGCTTTTTCCACTCACTCTCTGCCTCAGTGTCAAACGCAGAATGAATAAATGTAGCTCCTTGAAAGCTGTATTATCGTTCTCGTTGTTTTTCGAGTTGAGATTGAACGACCAAACTATTTTGCAATCGAACGATATGCGAATCAGCGTCAGCATTACGAGCTTGCTGTCCATACTTCTAACAAGACTTCCTGATAGAGCAAACTTCTGCAGTGTAATCCATGCCAAAAGAAACCAGGATGTCGATGAGTTTAGTTGCCTCGTTGTTACCAGAAAAAAGTACTTCCTGGAATACTTGATGTAACCTTGTTTCCCTATTTCATTTGCCATTGCTGCAGCAATTCCTATAAAATTTATATCACATCTCTTTGTTTATTTTTTGCTGATGCATCAAAAGAAATCGGTACCTGAACTGAGTTAGAATGCATCTTCGTCATTCTGGCATTATTTTCGTCCAACTCTTCAATCAGTAGACTTTTAATCGCCCTCGATGAATCATAAATTTCCTATTGAATATCAACTGTATATTTCTTTTAAATCGAATATTAAACAAGACTAAAATTCATAATTACGATTCAATCACCGTCATAGTTGAGTTAGATAAGGGATGCAAGACCACCACTGCTCACGACGTTTAGACGTGTCACTGAAGGATACTTGTCACAAGTTGGGTACAACGCTCGGACCCTAATCTATAAACACATTTCACTAATCCCTTTCGTTCCGGTGGCTTAAACATTCAGATCTCTGTGAATGACATTAACCATCATCCAATTATCCTTGCGGGTGAGCATCCTGCATCGATCCAAAGCAGTGTAACTAGTCGTAAATAAAGAAGGCCCTAATTAGGTCGCTTTTCGCTCATTGCTTCATGATAGGACATTAACACTATACGTGTAATCATAACACTGATTACTCAATGGTTAGGCAAATAATGCGCATAAATTGGTTTTCTAGCGCCGAAAGTGTCATTGCTATGTTTAAAAACAGTGTATCCTTACAACAAATTAAATGTATTGAGCTGTCATAAACAACAGGATATTATTTGAATCTGAAAATGACCTCACGTAAGTAACGAAACCAGATCCATTCTTATAGTGGTTGCCTGGAATGGACCTGCCCGAAGTAGCTTCCCTCTTTATTATACTCGTGAAGTATATAGCTTTTCTAATACACTTCCAGGTGTATCTGCCCACCAAGCTATAAACGCAAGAGTGCTGGAGAACCCCAGTGTGTACCACTGCCAGCCTGTGGTGAGACTGAAAAGCATTCACTTGGTGAAGGGTTGTATATCTCCAACCCATCGGCTACACAACAACCATGCCTGAATAAGGGTCAATGCATACAGGATGAGAATGAGCCTACCATGTACACGTGTATTTGTCAACCCGGATACGCCGGAAAAGATTGTGAAATTGAACCACCTGCAGCCGTTTGGAGCCCTTGGTCATCTTGGTCTCAATGTATTTGGCCAGAACCACAGGAAATATGCTACAAACGTCCATACCAAGAAGAGACACGAGTGTGTATATCTTACACACCGGGTCAACGTTGTGTTGGACCTCAAAGACGTCAACGACATACAGCATGCGATATAAACTCGGTAATTTTCTTCATATAAGTAGTTTTCTTTACTTTGTAGTGTTTCATTGAGCTCGAAGTTCTCTTTCCGTACCAGGAGTAGGGTTAGCGTATATTAGCAGTCTAACTTTACCAGATGGTTTCATTTCATACTATCTTCAATCACAATGAAACGTCATTTTAAAAATATGATATTGACCATTTCTATCAACTAGCTTGTTTGGAAGATACGCTTTAACAATTTAGGCGTTTCCGGATCAACGGTGTGCAATCTCGAGGACTTCAGGGGGCTTATAAGCCTTCCTCATAGTGCAGGTGGCGATCAACTGAAATGGTCAGACGATCTTGATCTAATGACTCTTAAACAGTCAATGACGATCGGTTGATAATCATGTCATCTGAGACAGGAAAATATCCACCAAAAGAGCATCCATGACCAAGCAATCAGTTTGTTTCTACTCCACGTTGTCAAGTTTGACGATCTCATTGCTTATAGTGCTACATGGTTACGATTAAAAAGGGTGTACGAAATGGAGCCATTACATTAGGTTGAATCTTTTATATCCGCATTGGCCTCATTTAGCCGAATATACAAAAATCTAAAGGAGTCTCTTATTCTTTTCAAGTTTACCATTCCTACTTGCTTGGTACAATGCGTGATGACTGTCTTTCTGTTCCAGGGAAGCGCCAGCTCGTACACTGGTATCACTTACCTGAAACGTGAAAGGCTGCGCAAGGCAATGGAACTGTGTGACATTGCTGGCAAGCGAATACAAGCGTCAATCAATGAGGAACAACTTGGAGAGGTTTTGGTCAGTTTAGACGCTTTGGATGATTACAGTTCCAGAGGTCAAGAAAGCCCTCCATTTTTGAATTTGCCGGAGGCATTACGGACAGGGGATTTACAGGCTGTAAACTGGCCTAAAGCACAGGATCTTTTGTTTATGACTCTTTGGATTTATGCCGTGTTAATTCACTTGTCACTGATCATACTTTGGATTTATTATATACACCGTTGGCGTACAGTGCCATTTGTTCCCAAACGTTAATTAGAATCCAAGACCGATTTGACTTTAGTAACGGTGACAGTTTTTTTCTCTCTCAAAAGGATGTGTGGTGTTTCGATGCGTTGCTCTTTTAATTACAAGCTATGAGCAGAGTGCGAATGCTTGAATCAAATAACAAACGATGGCCGAAACACACGTCAATTCAAGTGACCAGGGGTTATCAACTGTTTTCTGAATGCTTCTTCCTCAGTTGGTTCAACATACCAACAAATAGCACAAATCACACGTTGCATTGGTGTTTGTCCCGTTGAAGCAATTTACTGATCGAAAACCAATGAGTCAATTTGTTGGTATTCAAAATGACTATCATCCTCAACGAGCAATATGAGATATTTGTGTTTGGGATCAATGCTTACTGAGAATAAATTAAACGCAATGCTGCGAAACAGATGATTATATATATGAATATCCCCATGATAGCATAGCTTAAGAGCATGACTAGGAATACCCAAAAACAAGTAGTCGCTCACCGACTCGTTTCCTCGATTATATATCTCTCAAAAGTTCGAATATTCCCATGATAGTATTAAGAAAACGAGTTGGTGAGCTAACAATTGTTTTCGGATGTTCCTCGTCATGCTCTTACATATCAAGTAATGGGAAAATGCATACATGATGATAGACATTGGCTCAATTTAAGTTCATTAATCGGAGGCCGAGACGAGAGGATGCTTGTGTGCATGTGCATGTAAGAATGTTTAGCGTGTTATTTGGTGTGACCTTTCACCACTTGGATCAAGTGACACGTCATGTTCTGCCTTGAATTTCACACCCGGTCAAGGTAATTGGATCGCCTGGACCAGTCTTTTTGGGCACCCAGGTTGGGGCCTAGTAAGCGAATGGCGATCGCCTCTGCCATAGCTATTGTCCAAACTCGGGCCGCCCTCAATCGACTGAGTGAGATGCGATCTTGTGCCCGATGTCGACGAGATGACCCACGATCGCACTTGAGATACAGCCGGTTTTTTCCTGACTTAACCATCGCGAGGCAAGTGCTATCATTATATAATCATTTTGCCACTATATAATATGTAAGGGCATGACTAGGAATAACCGAAAACAATGGTTCGCTCACCGACTCGTTTCCTCGCTTATATATATATATATATATATATATATATATG